TTTAAAAAAATGCAAATGAGAAAACATTTAAATCATTCGATTGTTTATCCGCATACAAAAACATCTTTGACATGGCGAAGAATAAGGATGTATAACTTTTGTTTTACTTCGAATTTTGCAATAATATTTTAGGAGAGTTAGTATTCTTGACACTATAAGAAATCCGAAATTAAAAACAAAAAAAAATCGATTTTTTTGACATTTTGAACTGGAATGTCCCCTTAAACCTATGGCTATCAAAATATAAATAAGTATCACTAGCAAATTGTCATAATAATATTTAAATATTTTTAATTTTTTATTGCTCCTATTTTTTTATATCGGTATCCTCATAAAACGTCGGTTGCTAGAACATGTGTCAAGAAAAAGTTGGTTTTTATAGAGAGATTAGAATGTAAATCAGCAAGCAATATTTTCATTGGCCATGGGACTTTTGATAAATACCACTTTTAAATTTTTCTTCACTCTTCTTGAAAAAAACTGCGCGTCGGAAAGCATTCTCTCGTGGAACAACAGTATATTTTATATTATATGAGGTGGATTCCACGTCAGTTCAACACACTTATTTTCATGACTTGTTGGGATTTGGCTGTACTTTTGTAAATTTATTACTTTTATAGTGATAAACAACTCCACCAAATATTTTTTCAAAATTTTGAAAATTACCAAAAATATGGCATTTTCAAAATTTTTGTCTTTTTTTTGAAAGTGCTATAACTTTGGTTCTAATTAACCGATTTTGGATATTAAAAAAGGATTTATTTGGTTTTAAGTATATTTAAAGTTACTATTAATATAAAAAAGAAAAATTCAAAAAAATTTTTTTTTGGAAATTTAAAAAAATTAAAAATCCGTTTTTGAAAAAACATCATATTTGATTTTTTCAAAATTTTACTAAATGTTAGGGCAAATGTGCTTTACATGTCCAGTAAGTTTCATTTTAGGATCTCAAAGCACAGAAAATAAAAAGTGTTATTTTAACACCGAATTTGGTGTTAAAATAACAAGCAACAAATTTAACCGTTATAGGTGGCGCCACATTCTATGTCGTTTAACATTGGTTAATTTAACACGCAACAAAAATCACACCAACTTTTTTCTAGTGAGGGATTCGGAGTAAAAAAATAAAACGTAACCACAAATTACGAACATATGGGGCAAAATTCCTCAACTGCCCAGGTAAATTTTTTTTTCTGTTTTGCATGTAATTTTCTCTAAAATAAATGTTCTCGTGTTAAAATCTGTATGGGATCCCAGGGACAGCCTAGGATATTTTAAGTATACTTTAACTTTTTTAATTAACAATAATTTTGTTTCACTATTTGCAATTGAATTTTGCTTGAAGTGAATGATATACTTCATACTAAAAACACGATCACAAAAAAGGTATTTTAAAATATAATGAGGGTTTTTAAATATATTTGTGTATATATTAGAAGCGGGAGTTCAGTGTGAACATATTCAAATGTTATCTAATCGCAATCATCGATCTGGCATTGCCGCATGTCAAGCTTGTCGAGAACTAATTCATCGAAGGAGAGACTAGATAACAAAAAAAACGGCGATAATAATGAATGGCTTACGATTTGAGAGCCAAGAATAGTAACAATAATAATAGTCATGATAATAAAACACACGTAAAGGGCTCTCTTTGCGAATGTAGCGGTTTGAATCCCGAGTGTGGTATTTCAAAAGTCTACTTAGCATTCGGTGTCACGTAGAACCCACGGATTAATACATCAAAAACTCTGCCATCCCGCCCTCTTTCAACCCTCCTGCCATCCCCTAGAAAGGCTCTACATCCTGGTTTCGTCCACGACACTAAGAGACCCAAGGGGGCATTCTAGGACAATCATTTGTTCACGATGCAACCCTCACGAGCTTGGTGCGTGTCTTTTGTTCTGTTGATGCGAATTCTGATTGGATCTTTCGTCAGATTACGCCAGCCATGACAGTCTTTTTCCGGACCAGGGATATCGGGCCAATAGCCATGTTGTGGGCGTTCCTGGGCGGAGTATACTCTGCGTTGTTTCTCCTGCTAGTTACGATCAAATCCGTTACTACCGTTGTGCTTATACCGGAGGTGCTGATGTCGATATTGGGTATTATTATTATTATGGCTGCTGCTATTCTTCTTCATTATCTACTGTATCTCGGTTACCTTCGGTCGGTAAGGTAGATACAAACTGCACAATGAATACTTCCATGTCAGACGTTTCCCTCATCTTTTAGAAGATGGCGCCACCATTCTATATTCCAACTTTTGTATGCACTAGTGATTCCCTCAAACACTATGCTGTCCATTTCGTTGCTTTGTTGCTTTCCCATATTCGAAATTCTATTTTCAAAATTTTGATTCAATTAGAATTATTCTTATTTTTTGACAATTTTTATATTTATATTTATTCAAAGTAAAATTCTCTATTATTCCCATAAGTGATGATATCACATTGTCATCACGTAGTAAAACAATAAAGCTAAAGATGACTCCTACCCTAACACTGGATATTCAGGATATCTGGAAATTATGATATCTGTAAGATGACCCAGGAATGTCCTAAGATATCCTAAGGACATCATGAGGGTAGATTACGTAACTTTCTCCGATTCCACTTTCAGTATTCAGATTTCACATTCCGATTCCATTATCAATAATACCGATTCCACATTCCGATTCCACTTTCAATATTCCGATTCCACATTTAATATTTCTATTTCACATTTTCCGCTTCTGCAAGCAATATTAAATATATAGAATCAGAATGTTCATTTAACTTTAAAATTTAATTTCCAAAATTGAGTGGGTGCTAGTTTCAGCTTCATATACAACTTGAACTAGGAAATAGTTCTTTAATATTGAAATAACAATTTAATCATCACAGATTAGTTATAAAATTTGACTATTAAAGTCTTTGTACTTTTTGTTGAACAAAGAAGTGGTGAATTGTTGAACAAGTTCAACAATTTTAACTTCATTGTTACATAAAAATTTAATTTTATTCTAAATAAATTTTTTTAAATTCAAAGAAGTATTAAATCAAAAAAAAATTTCGCTTTCATGAATTAAATGAACAACATTGAGTTTCGTGACAATTTAATTTTACTTATAGCTTTGCATATGAAACTCTATTTGCAAACGTTTCTTGTGACCTTGTCGTTAATAGCATTAGGAAATGCCTCTATGACATACCTATCTGTTGTTTACAAACAAACTTACGGCACCCCTATAGGCTTGTCCATTTCTGGACAATTTGCGGATGTTGTGATGAATGACCTTGAAAAGACATGTCTGAATAATCTATCCTTTATATCAACTTTCTTTTTTCGTTAAGTCGATTCACAAAAATAGCCATAAAAGTTTCTGTTCACATCGAACAAAAGAACCTTAAAATTGTGATGAATTCAATAAATAAACAAATATTTTGGTCTGACAATGGGATCCCCAATATCCTTTAGTTGAGCAGTGCAGTTCAATAACTTTTGCCCACCCAACTGCAAATAAAGGCGTTAAAAAATTTCACATATATGTAAAATTCTGTGTAAAATAAATAATAAAACAATTTTATTTTTACTACAACAAACAAAAACGTTTAACATTGTTTTTCTGGAATTGTTTTAAATAATTTTAATTTTGAAACCATTCAACCAACTTGTAATGGTTAACATGTTTATTATTAATATTGAAAGATTATTAATAATTATTAATATTAGAAAAATTAAAAAAAATGTTGTCATTGAAAGCATATTTAATTTAATAATTAAAAAAAATTAATACAATAGCTTGTTCAGAATAATATACAACAAATTAATTTACAATATTTTTTCAAAGTTATAAATAGTATTCTGCAAAAATAGTTAAAATTTAACTCTTAACGAGGTTCTATAAAGGTTGAATGTTTTACAAGTTGTAAGAAAAAAGTGAAAAATTGGGAGTTAAAATTTAACTCTACTGAGACTTAATTTAATCAGTAAAATATGTCAGCGAGGTCATATTAGAATTCTGTAATTCGAGAGATGGTAAATTAACTTTATTTTGGAGTCGATTTTAAGTTCTGAAATTATTACTCTCTACTCTAGTTGTTATTTACCCTAACAGCAGTGGGTATTACAGGATATCCTATAATATATTTAAGTTTGTTTCATTGTTGGTGTTTAATGTTTAAAGCAGATATTTGACTTACAAAGAGTATAAATTCTTTCCAGGAATTTATTCAAGGCAAGAGATTTGTATTCGATTTTTAATACAAGATGCACAAGTCATGAAAATTAGACCGAAAATAAAACAGGCCGATATGATTTTTAAGTAAATCACCTCTAAGGAACTTACTTATTTATTCGACGAACGTCAATTTGACATAATTACTTCGAATTATCGCTGTCAAGTGGATGCACAGGCCAGGATATTAAAACCTATGACCTTTACCACGAAGAATGGGAAAAAATTCATTTGGAGCATCAATGAATTATTTGCTGAAACCCAATGCTAAAATTAATTTATAAAATCTGTTTTGCAATGGAACTATAAATAACAGAAATGGATTTTAAAAAATAGGTGAAATAGCTACTTCACGACGAAAAATGAATTATTAAAATTGTCTTGTGGATTGTAAAAGTTACATGTATATTAGGGTGGTCCTTATTTTTGAAATTTTAAAAAAAGGTAACGATAACTTAAAAAGTATTGTTTTTTATTATTATATTTATTTTTGAAAGCAGCTCAGAGTAAGAGTTATGAAAAATAATAATAATTATAATATATAATATATATATTATATTTAATATTAATAATTTTTACACGAAAATGAATTCGTAGATTGCGAATTGTTTTAATGGGCGTATATTATACGTTTCATAAAGAAACCTATAATATTTTAATATCTATCATTTCATTGTTTGTTTGATTTACTTCTGATTGTCAGATGATAGGGTAATTGATTGTTTAATGATAATTAATCACAATTAGAAAATTATTTACTATGGAAATTAAAATAAACTTAAAATCACTTTTTTAATACATTTTATTGGTAATTATATATGCCGATACATTTCATTTATCTCTTTAGATAAATACAGTAGAATATACATGTAAATTAGAATTTTTTTTACTTTACCCGAAGGCAATTAAAATTTGAGCATAAATTCATATTTGGATTATATGTTGGCTCCCAAAAATCGCATATTTTAGTAGGATTCATAAGTGTGTTTTCTGGGCAAGCAAAGGACTCTCCAAATTCCTTCATATTTAGTAGACTTCCAATAACTCTCATATCATTTGGTGAATGAGTTGTAACAGGCATTGGTAATTCACGAGTTTCACAAAATTTCTGAAAAAGTATTTTTTTAAATCATTATAAATTATAAATAATTATAAAACGTGGAGAAAACAGTTTGATTAAATAACTTCAAATCAGCTTGCCGTACATTAAAATCTTTAATAAATAATAAATATTCTAATACACAAATTGTATAAGTTAATTTCCCTTCGGTTTTTTTAATAACACTAGGTTAGTTTATAATAAACTGTTTTCTGTAAGTATGTAAGTACAAATGCAAAAATAAAAATATTCACATTTGCAAAGGATACAAAAAATATTTTATTATTATCAAAGTGTTCGAAATGTTGAAAGCCATTCCTCCTAACTGCTTCTGGATGATCTCTAAAGTAGCGCTGCATTGCTTTGTATGCTAATTTTATTCCTTGTATATCAGCCATATTTTCAACGAGGGTACTCGTTGGTACCTATAAGAATTATATTTATAGAATGATATAATATTCAATAAAAGATGCTTTCTGAACAACCACTCATGACATATTTAGAGCACGCAAAAACCTTGATTAACAAAAATATTTGAAATAGACAAAGCGAAGTGCATTAAGCATTTATTGAAGTTACACTTCTCTGGCTTTAGAGAAGCAGGGAGAAGAAAAATTGTTATTGTATGGAGTTGGTACACTAAAAGAATTAGATTTTTGTATGATATATTTATAATTACCATTAGACTGATATACTGATCAGATACACATTTTAATTTCTCTTGAAATGTAGAATTCAGATATGGATTAGATTGAAAAGTATCTGTAAAGACAAAAAATTTTATAACTTACAAGTAAATGTTATTGCTTAGAAATTTTCAGTTAAGTTCTTTTCTTTTGATAATCTTATTAACAATTCGTTATTAATAATTAAAGTCTTAGGTTAGACAGTACTATTAATCAACATTTTTCAAATTATTTGAAACGTTCAAATTAATTAACAACCAATATTTTAATTTCTATAAGTATGTAAATGTATACTTGCACCCAAATTTTGGATCTAAACGATGGTAATCAAATGCGTGAGAAATTTCATGTCCTATTGTAACTCCCAGTCTTCCAAAATTATAGGCTCTATTTAAAGTTGAAATAAATTACAATTTATTTTTACAATTTTGCAAATAATAATTAAAAGTTATAACAACTTACATTGGTGCATTTAAGGAAAACAATGGTGGAAACAACATTACCGGAGAAATCACTAAAATTACAAAATGATTTTAAACAGACAATTTTATATTATCTATCTATATATCAAAAACTTTCTCATACATAAAACTTACGTATTCGATGTTTATTTGGTTCATAAAATGCATTCATTATCAAATGCCTCTTTCTTCTTCTAAAACAGCAATAAATCTTTGTGTAAAAATACATTTTAAATTTTAATAAAATTTTATTTATTATTATTCGGAGATTGTTATGTTCACAGATCACGAATCATCGAATTTTAATACCTTTTTGTTTGTGAATGAATTAGAGATAATTCAAATTTGTATACCATTTGAGCCTTTTTAAAATTGATCCAATTTAGCAAAGAAACGGTAGTAACGTCAAACTAGAAAAACATTTAGAATAAGGTATTACATAAAACTATAAATTCTACATTTACAAAATTTTATATTTATGTAAAAAAAAATCTTACACCGTATGAAGTTGTTGATATTTCCTTTCTTAGTGTTGGAAAATTCAGTTTGCTAATATGAAGTGATAAATCTGTTACCACTTTTAATGCTTTTCGTTTTGAAAGAACATCCATCCAACTATTTCTGATTTCTAATTTTAACTCGTATTTTATTCTTTCAACCAGGTCATTTAACTAATTCAATTATAGAATCATAAATAATAATCAATGTTAGTGTAAATATTATACATTATTAAGATGTAATTTTAAAAAGACAACTAAAAGCCGTTCTATGTCTAATCCAAAAGACGTCCGAAAGACTTCTGAAAGACATAAGAAAGGACGTCAAAAGTACATTTTCTAAGTTGAAACACAGTAATATTATATTAAATTTATTATAAGTTTTATTTTGTCTAAAATGTGGAGAAATAATGAAAAAATTCCTACGAAGCTGGGATCGAATTTGGATACCTTGGGCTTGAAGCACTGCGCCTTAAGCACATCAGCCGTTCAAGACAGATATGAACCTCTGCAAAGTTTACCATCTCACTTTTCAATGAAATGAATTTAACTTAGAAAAATTCCAATCACTTTTACATTCATTAGTTTCTAAGTCCAAGTTGAACTTAGAAAATAATATTTTCTATTTATAAAAATTTTTCTATTTTCATAAGTTGAATGAAAAAGACGTCTTTTAGACATCTTAAAGATATCTAAAGGCCAAGACATAGAACATTTATAGGACGTCTTTTGAACAAGTTTGCCTACTGGGATGACACTACGAAAAATAGCACAATTGGAAAATCAATAATCAACTTAAATTGTTAATTAATATCCCCAAACAAATGTTGATACATCCGAATTCGTATTAAAGAAAATATTAAACTTATCTTACAAATTCTTCTCTTTCATAGAATTCGTCACTATCCGCTAATATTTCATAAAATCCAGTAGTTATTGGAATCATGGTGATACATTTTACAGACCTATTGTTAAAAGCATTTTTGTAAAACTATATTTTCGAAAATATAGTAAGTAAAAAAGTTATTTTAAAACTTAATTTTTTTAATTAGTATAGCATAGAACATAAAAAAATTAGTCTTTTAATTTTTTACTACTATATAGTTTTGTTCAGAAATGTTTTCATATACCTCTCCAATGGGGTCATTTCTTCTCCAGTTGCGCTGTTAAAAATATTTAAATGAAACAACGTCTCATAAGACATTTGGAAGTTAAATTGTAAATATCGTACTGAAACATAAATTATTCATTAAAATATTATTTAAAAATTAAGTAATGTTCCATAAACGCAATTACCGATTACATCATCTTGTGTATCACTTAATAATGCACATAATCCTTTTACATATTCAAAATCAATCAGTAATTGAAAGGAAGGTTCTAAATTAATATCAGGTTCAGAAAGTTTTTGAAGAAGTCTATGCCATTCAATCTAGAAATTATAAATATATTTATAATTTTTAGAAACAGATGCATAAAATTTAAATTTAAATATAATCCGTAGCAAATAAACAACTGAGTAAATATGTTTGCAATAATAGAAGTAATCTTAACGTGCTATGTTAACTTTATTGCTTCAGCAAATATTATCTGAAAGAGAAAACGATAAAATTACCTTTGATACAGATGAACCTAATGAAGAACAATTGTTATCATACATTTCTTGTAACTCTTGAATACTAACTGTTATTAACAGTGACTTGGGATTTGTAAGGAGCTGTAAATTTAATTTTCTACATTAATAGGGAGTTTTCATCAAAAAATTTTTTTATTTAAATCGATAGATTAGGTCTGATTTATATAACAAATTTTTTTCTAATAATTTTTTAATGAAAAATAAGCGTATAAATAAATAAAAACAGTTTGCATAATTTGAAAATAACGAAAACGGTCCGGAAATAACCGAGTTCTATCGAAGGGACTGTGACGTCAGAGGTGCTTATAGTTGTCTATGTTGCCATGAATTCTTCATGTAAAACATTAATTTTTTCTCAATATTTTTATACTATGAAGAAAAACAAAAGATATAAGACGTGTTTTATGCCAGAATTTATCAGCCAACAATCAAGACACCAGAAAAATTATTTTGTTCTGTACTACAAAAAAATATCAAGAGACCATGCTTCTATTGCCAAATGAAATGACAATGTGCTGTCGTTGTAAACCAAATTTTTCTGCTGTAAAGATCATTTTAATTTATATAATTACATTGCAAGAATTTTAAATTACACTAGTTATAAATTATATTTTGAGATATGCAAGAGTAAATAAAAATTTCTAATATTATTGTATATAATGTAAAATTGAGTAGTCAACATAACCTAAAAATAAAATAATAAATCGATATTTTAGGCAAATTCGATGGATCTGCTTTTTCAAATCCCGGGTCTAATATACAAGGGATTTTTTGATAAAAAAATAAATCGATACCTCAGTGTGATACAGTCCTATCTTCTGGTAGTACTTAAAACTGTCTCATCTCGAGGTGACGTTTTCTACCGTGCTATCTCAAAATTTGACAGATTGTGGTGTCAATAAAAAAAATAAATTACGGTACTAAAAATAATTATTACATTCAAAACAATTATTTTTTCATATTTTAAGAGAGACTTTTTATTATAATATATAAAAATTTAGTGTGAATTAATAAAATTTAACCACTTAAATGCATTTATAGAAAACAGCTAATACATTAACCCTACTTTTTGACAGCACGATACAAAGCATCACCTGAAGGTAGGATTGTTCTAAATATTACCAGAAGATAGGACTGTATCATCCCGTGTAGAAAATGACCTATTTAAATCCTGTTTGTCATGTGGCCCCGATGAGGACTGCCTCACTATAGCCTGATCTGGGAGTTTTCGGGGCCTGATAGGGACCTATATTGCAGATGTCATTTTTAAAATGCGGAACATTTATTATTTCTTTTATTTCGAACTGCATTTAATTATTATTAACAGATGTCAGTCCGTTTTCACGCTTTGAAAATGAGAAAACATAACAGTTCAAAACGTGTGAGGAAATATCGTTTTATAAAACAGCTCAAAAAATTAAACATTAACGCCAATGAAAGTAAGTAAAATGTACAATTTTTTTTATAGAATTTCAGATCTAGTTTGTCTCAAAAAACACTAAAAATACATTTTCGATTTAAGTTTATATTGTCAAAATTTATATACTGTGATTTCATGTTATGTTTATATTATAATAAATATATTTATTCGTTTATATTTTTTTAAATTTAATTTATTAATTTTTTTAATTATTTACCTTTATTTATTTGATTTTATTTATTTTTATTTGTTTCAATTTATTTATTTGTTGTTTAATTTTTTATTTATTTATATATTTACATATATTTATTTGCTTTTATTTACATTTTTCTTCATAACTAATTTATTAAAATTCATATTAAATAAAATAAAAAATAATTTCTATTACATATATAGGCTAATCAGTTGCAAGTACATATTTTATTCATAATAAAAAAGTGATAGAAGAATTAATATTTAAAGCATCTAAAAATAATTTTAAAAAATTTTGAATTTTCAATAAAAAAATAATTAAAATGGTAATTTTATTTTCAAAGGAAACTAATCGTTATCTTCAAATAATTAACCTTTGTTATGCTGAGAAAAGAGAATATTTTGTATTTCTTCTTTCATTGGTATCACAATTTTACCACAATTAGTTCTATTATTAGATAGTGTTTAAATTAAAGCTCAGCACTTTTTATTTTGAATTTTATCACTATTATTATTATTCTTGTATTTATTAAATCAAAAAATGTTATTTAAAATAAATTATTACTGAATAAACTAAGAATGTCATTGATGACAGCGAAAAAGACCGTCAAATTTACAATTAATTAAGATAAGTGTGGCCCCTTTCACAACCCGAATAGGCCCGTATTTAAAAATTTCTCGGCAGGTCCCTATCGGATAAAGCGTTTCATTTCATGATTTCCCTCATTTGGGCCCTATTTTACCCGATTTGGCCCTGATTACAGCCAAACTAAAATTTCTACACGGGATACTGAAGTACAGAAATCATTTATTTTCACTTTAAATAAAATAAAATAATTTTAAAACAATCGTAAACAAAGATCATGCATGGATCATGCAGCAGAAGACGTGAGAATAAGCACCCGTGACGTCACGTTTCAGTAACCAATAAAAATTGTTTTCTTTCAGCATGGATATTTTCAAAAATTTTACAATTTCAATTTAATTTTTTAATGTGTAAACTTAAAAAAAATTAAAAACTTTCAACGCTAATATATTTTAAAATATCTATATTTACTATTTCTTAAAAAAAAACTTGAAATTTTTTTTGATGCAAACTCCCTATTTTAATGGCTTAAAACAAAATGTGGAGTTTCACTATAATTACACTTTGAAATGTTATTATAATTTTACCTCCTTTAAATCAGATAAAAAATTGTAAAATTCTTCTTCAAAATTCCAATCGGATTCTGGATGTCGATGATATATTAGATTCTGTTTGTTATTGTTTAAATAGTCAACCAATAAACTTCTGCCTAGTTTTCCGCTTAATAATTTGTTTACTTCCGTATTAACTGGTTTAGTAATCTAAAGATATGTGAATTCTTTTAATTTGTTATTTTTCAAGAAAAGAATAATAACGTTAAACATAATTGTTCTTATAGAACTGTATAATTTATTATAATTAACGAAATGTAATTTTTAAACAAAATGTAGCAAAACAATGTTAAGTTTTAAATAAAAATTTCTTTACTTTAAATATAATCTTTATGGCACCTGCATTTGCATTATTGACAAAATTAAGTTAGAATTCTAAAGTTCTTAGAATATTAATGTAAAAATAATAATAATATTTCTAGTTCAGGAGTTGATAAAATATTTTTTGAGCTATGGAGTTTCAAAATTTTGACTTTTTTGAAAACATCTTTTTTCAATTTAATATATTGATAAGTAAAATTAATCAAATTAAAAGTATAAATAGTAATTTTTAAAGGGTTTTTCACGAGCTATAAGCTGGTGATGAAAATCTGTTATCAGCTGAAAAGCGAGGCAACTTTTAGGGGAAAAAAAGAAAAATGTACATTTTTAAATGAAAAAAATGTTTGTATATCTGGTTCCGTGCGGTAGAAATTCTTAAAATTGAGCAAACTCTAAAAAAAATATATATAGAAAAGCGTTTAGGGGATGTGATACCTTAAATAATTAAAATAAAATATTATTATCTTACCACTAATTGGTTTTCAGAATTTAGTGTAATATGAAATAGTGAAACTTCACCAATTTTACTAGCATAATATTCAGCAACATTTTGCCAATGTGGCCTTGCTTGTTCACTTTCTGATTTTATTTGTGAATACAATCTTCTCCCTTCCGTTACCGATATATCTGCAATAATTTTATGTAGTGGAAGGCCGGGGTAAAGTTAGTCATAAGGTGAATTCGGTCACTAGCGATTTGACGCTATGAACTCAACTTTAGATGAAGATATCGATAGTGCTTAGCATTCTACTTATGTTAACGAACTTTCGTTAAGTTTCATGAATTCAAAATATGGAAGCAGAGGCGGTCAAGTATTTTTAGAGGTGTCAAAAAAAATGTTCTTCGGTTTTTCAATTTTTTCGATCATTATTTTTGAGTCTTAATTTATTTAGGTACTTTTTGTTTATGCAATTTGATGTCCATTTTCAAAGTACATATATATAGTTACGTACTATTTCAAAAATATTTAATTTAATTTATTCTGAAATGTGAGGAAAATATTCAGTGTAAAGTCGGTCACGTGAAGTTGGGGTAAAGCAACTCACTTAGTTTTAAATTTAAAATTTAGAATAAAATAATTTCACGTATTATATTTTAACAACAATAAAATTTATAACTTGTTAAATGCAAAATTGTATAGAAAATAAAACTGTCGGTGTTACCCTAAATTCTTGAAAAAATCAAGTGATCGTATTTACCCTGGAAAATTGTGATTTTGAAATGAAATTTTATTTTTAATTGAATTTTTCAAGGTCAAATTTTTTTTTAAATTTGTTTACACCATTAGAAAGTGCTGAAAAACAACAAAAAAAAACACAAAATAGAAAACATCTTTTCGTCTTGTTTTAAAGAAATTACAGATTTTTCAAATATTTCATGTAAGACTAAAAATTTAAACTTTGACCCCCTCTAGTTTTTACATTTGTTTAAATAAATTAATAATTTTTGGCATTTTTAATTGTATCTAATAGGACTACTGGTTGTGCAAAATTTTAACCTGACCCAAACATTTCAAATTTGGACCCGGATCACTTGAGGTGGAATGCCAATATGTAAATTAAAAATTATCTATAAGTAAACCATAAAAGATAAATCAAAAACTCTTTTTTATTTTTGTAGTAGAAATGATAAGCTTTCGATTGATATAATTTAACTTGGATTTAGAGAATATTTGCTAGATTTTTACCTATCTGGCCAAAAGTGACCGTATTTACCCCGGTCTCCTCTGATATATGATTTTTAAGAATTAAGACACTTTACTTATTAAAAAATTAAAAAATGAATAGTGTAATATACGTATTGCTCTTACCTGTATCCATGCACGAATCATAAAACTGTTTTTCCTTATACACATGAAAATAGTTGTGGTCAACATTTGGACTTTCTAAGACTTCTATAAATGAAAAGATTAAAATATAGTAAAATATTTATGTTAATAAGAAGTCCTGTAATGAATACATTGAGCAGCTAGTTTTCAAAATGAGTGATTTAATGTGTGTAAATTTTCATTTCAAAATATTTTACCATGAATTGTCTATATAGCATTTTTACATCTCAGGAGGACTATAATTATACATATACTAGTAAATGTAGGACAGAAATATTTTGTTCAAAGTTTACCTCTAATTTTATCAATTAAGTAGTCCATAGTTAATTCCTCTGGAGACCAGACTGGATAATAATTAGGTCTAGGGAAATTCCTTGTCCAATTATCACAAACATACTTATAAAAATCATTACAAGGATGTGCAACATCGCTCATTGCAACAACCATCATTTCAGCTATGAATGAAAAAATTATTAGTACTTTAAATATCAAGCGAATATCTTAATTTTGGAAGCAGGATTCCTTTTAATTGTTCAGGTCATATAAAAATATACCTACATAAAAGATTTGGAAACCGATTGAAACTAGTAACCACTGTCAATGCAGATCTAGAAACGAATGAATTTCATATTTTCGTTTTAATTACAGAAACGTATTGTAATATTAAATTTTAAAAATTATTTTAAAAGATCTTATTGTTTTTGAAAATTGGACACGCGTTTATTATAAAATGGTATTTGAAAAATCGATGCTATAAAGTTAACTTAATCAAACAAATAGTAAGATACTTACAGCATTTGCAGCAAACAGTAAACATTTCTCCAAATCATTTTTTAAAAAAACTTTATTTTCAAAAGTTTTAAATACAAATCAGGCACAATAAAAACATGATTTTCTTTTAAAACGCAACTTGTATTTATACCTTCTAAGCACTGTCCTTGACGTTAAAGATATTTATGACATAAAATTGAAGTATGCGTTAAAAAACGTGGCTTCTGATTTCAATTTGATAATGTTCTTTAATATTATACAGCTAAGAAGTGAAAAACATATTTTTACGATTTTAAAATATTCGGAATTATTCTATTTTCTTTACATTTTTTTTATATTAAATTAAAAAAACTTTAAATTACTTCTTTCTTTTTCTAGAAAAGTGATATAAAAATGTATTACTTCCTCATAGAGGAAGTATTGTAATACCAAAATTTTTCGAGTTCGATTTTTTGACATATCTTTATGTTATTTGACCTCAGGAGTTCAAAAATGACATTTTTAAAGAATGTCATTCCGTATGTGTGTGTGTGTAAACATCACATTTTCATAAATATCTCGAAATCATCAAGAGCTTTTGAATTGAATTTTTTTTAAATTGTAGATCTCACCTACGGACATAAAATGAGAGTACTTTCTGATATATTAATAAAGTTTAACTAAATGTTTTTTTCATTTTGAATTTTGAAAAAAACGTTTTTTGCCCATAACTTTAAAAAAATGTTAGGACATCTATAAATGTTTTTCCATAATTTTGTAGAGTTTCTTTATACGCATCTTTTGAGCCCTAATTGAACATTTTTCGTCCATATATTAACCGGAGTTATTAAACTTTTAAACATAAAAAATTTTGGAAAATAAGACTTTTTTGGAAATTTTATTGAAAAACGTAGAAGTAACATTAAAATTATCATTATCAACTTGTAGAGCATTAAAAAACGCTTCGATTGACCTATTTTTTAACCTAATTCGATAATAAATTTCGAAATTATTGGTATTTTAAAAACCAAAAATTGTGAAAAATGACATTTTCTCAACTTTTTTGCTTGAAAATTTTTGTTTAACTTTTTAAATTATTGTAACTATCTTGTAGGGTATTTAAAAATAAATTGATTGACCCAAAATTAAATCACTTTTACCATATTTATAAAAAGTTATTCATATGCCTATTTCTATTATTTTTATTTCTATGAGGAAGTAAAGTGTGCATGAAATGAGCACCAAAATTATACAAAAAAATATACAACTTGGCAGCGGTTTTTGTTTAACTTTAAAGCTAATTTGGTAAACTAAATTTTGAATAGCTTTAAGAAATTTCAAAACTGAATTTCATTTAATAAACAATTTTGAATCCTAAAAATCTAGATACCCTTTAAGGACATTAAATTTGATACAATTGAGTGACTTTTTCAGGGGTTCATTATATTCTCACATAGTATAGGTTCCTTAACCCTTATGACATTATTTGTATATAGATCACATGATTTATGTGCAGGCTTATATAATAATAATGTATGCACTAATGCTCCAGTACATGCGACCGTGCAACTGAAGTTTTTGTTGTGTATGCGTGATAAAAGCTATTGCAATAAAGTTGTTGGCGAATTTAATACTTATGTGCATACTTTGCAAGTGAATATCTCTATCAACATATCTGTCCATTTAAGAAATGTCATATATGATTTGTAATATGTACATATATAGATTATATAGATTCTAAAATCATTTAAATTCAATTGTTTTTATATGTCTATACTTATAGTTATTAATACTAACTACAGAATTTATAAATAAAAGTTATAAAATTCTAATTAAGGCAAATTAAACTTCTAATTAATTTTGAAATACATATCTTCTTATTTTTTTGAAAAGTATTTTAAATGTTGTAACACATTCTTTTGATAAGAAAGGGAATTTTAGAAAAAAATAAGTTTTGCTGTGGATAATTATTAATAAGTTTTCAATATCATTTAATTATTTAGTTATTAGTTAAATTTGTACAATAATTCTATTTTTACGAATAAAATAAAATCATACATTGCAGATGAAGTTTTCATTCTCATTGTTTGAATTTCAACCTATAGTTTGAGGCCTTTACAAATGACATTCATTTGTATTCAGATAGCTATCATGGTCATCTTGTAAAAAGCTAAAGCTTAATGACCAAGATGCCTCTAAATGATACCCAGTATCAGAGATCCGTTAATGATATCAAGTATAGTTCGTACATAGCAGCAAAAATTAAAAGCATATTAAATGTATATCATGCAAGATATACATCACTGAAAATCTTGTTTTAATATTGTCACATATACTTCTTAAATTTACAAAAATAATATTTAATTACTATCTGTGGAGTTTTGCTTTATACTGCATATTCTTTATTATCTCCGTTTTTAAATAAAAAATAATTAAATAAACATGTTTTTTATATAGGTGTTCCTTTATGGTGATTATTTGTTACATGGAGGGATCAAGCAATTAAATGTCATTTTCGAAAAACAATTTTTGTTGCAGAATTCCATACACAAATATATTTAGTTACCAACTTTATTGTGTTTAATCATCTTTTGCAGCTTTTAATATAGCACAAAGTATCATTTTTATATTGCTTTCAATTTTTTTTTATTTTCCTTTCTACCAGCATGCTTCTTGCCACCTCTCACACCGCGATAATTATATCTCTAATAGTATTAATAATGCTATCAATATTTTTATTTTATTTTATTTGAAACAATATGAAAAAAATGTTTCTGTTATCCTTTTTGTACTAGTGTGAGACACTACAATCTGTTAAACTAATGATATTTGAACTTTGAATACTTAAAAATTTTCGCAATTGGTTCTACAAGTTTCTTTTGATACCAATGTAAGGCGCATTCTGGTAATATGTATTTTAGAAGTAGTATCACTAAGAGTTTATTAAATAAAGTTTTATATGCATATATTTATACTAAACTTTATAATGAATTAATCCTTCCGTGACGCCACTGATTGATCGTATAGCCTTCTATGTATCTTAATTGTTTGCTTGTTGAAAATCCTTCTTGATAGAATAGTGTGATTCATCGCTTATACTCCAATCAAGAAAGGACAGTTTACCAGTGCACGCAGAGAAAAGTAGATTATACAATGACTCTTTTATGATATCATTTAAAAATATAGTTTTTTGTGAATTATGTCCCACATGTGCGGTACGTTGCGAAAGTTATAGGTACAGAATTTCCGTAAAGCAGTTTTTCCGTAAAATCGTTTCTATTTTTAATTTTCTAAAAAATTCTCATCACTCTAATGTATTGGAAAATTTAGTTTTGCCATTAACAAATACAAGTTTATAATATAAAATTAAGTTAAAAATTCGATTTAATACAAGTACTGATATGGTGGCATATTCTAATTTTATTTACATGACATATATATATTTAGTGTGAAACATATAATATATCTACCTTATACACAAATGATCATTCAAATTTAAAAATAAAACAAGAAAGTAAAGAATTGTCGTTTCACGGTAAAACGTTGGCAGCACCGATGTCAAATAAATATGCCAGAAAGAACACTTTAAAGTGTTAGAAGTTCCCATACGTAGAAGCTTCAATTGTCAAGTTGGATGAGGTACGATGATGATGTTTGACCACAAGACGACACCGACACGCATACGAGACGTTGCAATTGTGTATCCGACCGCAAAGCAAATGGGTATAGAAAATTTATTTAAATCCTTTTAACAGGAACGCATTTTTGTTTTTTAATACAAATAAAAAATAAACATTTTTTAAGTAACATTTATTTTATTTGATCTTAATTATAAATAATTAGGTTATTTTCGTTTATAATTGTGTTGATAAAGTGTTTTAGGTTGAGAATGTTACCATTCTTATAGACTTACCCCTCCTTGCTTAAAAAGAATTTGCTTTCTATTGAAGTTTTCAAATGTTTTGTAATTTTTAATCATTTATTTTAAGCTTTATATTTCCAAATTTATATTTAATTCGAAAATAATATGAACTTCGCTAAACACACATTCAGGTAATAAGTATCGTTTATCACGCAATACATTTTTTTAAATAAAATTTTGTAGCATGACTATGGTGGTGTGAGATTAGAAATTTATACTGCCGTTTGATATAAAAACTTAGTCAACCGACATATATATGTCGAAACGAGAAAATAAGGAAAAACTGTAAGAACAAAGTCGAAAATATCTTATTCGATTGTTTCCTCTGTTATATCAGCAAAATGCCATACGGAGACTGTTACTAACATTATGAATGACAGTTCTTCAATGGATCCAACTGCACATAATGAGGATGAACTTGAAGATAGCTCGGATGAAACTGATGACGAGGAATATTTGGCAAAACAAACAAAAGAAAAACCTGTCAAGTTATTTGATCAAATAAGTTTGAATAATTTCATCAGGAACATAGGTCTTCCTAAAGATATGCCCGAATATATGGCTGCGGAGCTAAAGAGTCAAGGAATGGTAGAACATCAGGGAACAAATTTAACTTTCTACAGAAATCGGGAGGAAAAATTCAGTAAATATTTTGACAAAGATGAAAAGGGTTTATTTAGTGTAACACAGACGTCCGTTGTTTGATAACAAGATCATTTGAAATGAAGAATTGTGTTCAAAATTAAGAGTTATTATTTCTCTAAAGAAAGTATTCTTATCCGCAGAAAACACAAATATATTTTCCAGATGTCCGTGACAATTTATTGAAAAATCACTGTGCAAAATTTTTATTAAACTTTCTTTGCAAAACTTACTTAGTAAATTTTCTCCTTACATGGTTTTGCAGAGGATTCCTTACGGATTCATACGGTAGTATAAGCCTCTATACTACTATATTACCATAGTATAAGACAGATATCCGTTTCAAATATTCACGCCCTTTTCGCACTGCAACCTGACACTGATGCATTTAAAAACCCCTTTGCTAGGAGGCGGACAGTTACTACAGCATAAATATCGTCGAAAGTCCTGATGACCACATGCTATGCACAGATATAACACTTAAGTCATATACTTGTGTGAGGTATAATTGCATATCTTTGACTTTCTTTATCTATCCAAAATATTATAGTCCTATAATATTTACAGGTGAGTATAAAATATATCAATACAAAAGTTATGTACAATT